CTAAATCGCAAATAGTTTAGGGAAAAAAGTACTCGACATCAGCAGATAGTACTGCGCTTTCTAAATCTGAATGTGACAAATAACAAAATATTTTCGCATGGTTCAATGATTAAGTGACAAAGTGCTGCAAGTGCTAAAGTTAGACCACTAAATAACTGTGAATTTTAAAAGGAATGTTTTTCAAGAAGAGACGTTTCATCATATCTCAGTCAGCAAAAAAATGCAAATGTAAACCGCTATTCTCAATCCATATGCGATACCATTTGTTTACATCTGGGCCAACTTGCATCCGTAGGATTTTAGGCGGATAAGTGATGAATACTTTAGCTAAGACTTTTATTAGTTGCCTTTTCAAAAAAAATAATGATGCTTTTAACCATCCGAAAGGAAAACTGTAGTTCACTAGAAAATCATTCGATGTAAGTAACAACTGCTCTTACTATTTCCTGCACATTATGGTGGATTTGGTCACACTGTGAAATCTTTACATATTGCCAACAGATCAATTCAATTTTTGTCATGAGCCGTAGTAATTCGCTTCTATTAATCTACCACTCACTGCTTTTTATAGCAACGTACCTGACGGGTACGCGAGCCCGTCTACTCACACACTCCTGTACCTGCTGCCTAATACTTTATTCATTAAGCCATTCATCCACTTAAACTCTTTACAAGCTCACTCATATTGTCATTGGCCAACAACCCCATTGATCATGCGCTGGCTTTTTATTCACGTAAACAACAACGACACAACTATCTAGTAAACGCTGGTCCGCGTCATTACTGATCGTCTCAGTCTCCTCCGATATTAGAGCAGAATTATTGAGCCAAATTTAGTGCAGCGGCCTCGACGCCGTTCATGATCACATGTCTGGATCTTCAACAAAATGACCCCGAGCTTTTTCCACTGTGACGGGCGGGGTATCCCTGCTCTAGTAAAGAAAATAAAAACAGGAACTAATTCAAATGCCTTTTTTACTGTTCTCGGAGATAAAAAGACAGTAAATAACGTTCTATGACGACTTTTGATACCCACACTAAAGTACTCAGATGGGCCTCCAGAAGAATAAGAATTCCGCCAAGTTCTCAGAACCCAAGAGTACGAACACTTTTGAACTTATGGATATTTTGCAGACAAGTACAAAGCCGAAATTGATTAACGATTTTCATTAGCATAGGCTTTCTAGTTTGAAAGAAACAATTTGTTTGTCGCCAGTTGGTATTTCAAACTGGGTACTTCAGGGACGGAATTTCGGAGTTCCAGCCAACTGCTAGTACAATGCAAAAAACCATTATCACAAATAACAAGAACTACGAAGAAATTCACCATACAGGATATCACCGTGATCAAGATCATTTATTTTCAACAATTTTGACATACAAAATTACCGATTTGAGAAAATTGAATACTTACAGCGATTGGCAATCCAAAACTTATACTAGTCTCTTCTGGTTTTTAAGCAAGTCAGGCCACAGCAAATCAGCTGATTTACACGAGGGACATAGACCGTTAAGTGGGAGGAGCTCCTGTTCGTTGTGTGTGAGATGCTTTGCTAGACAGATAACATGCCAGAAACCATTTTCACAATTTGCAGGGCAAGTCAAAACAGTTAATGCATGATGTGATTCAACCTAAAAGATAGAAGGGTTTACAATAACTGACACGAGTGACATTTTTTTTATACGATCTGCTAATAAAAGCCATAAGAACCTGAGTTCGATTTTAATCGAGAATTTCAAGTGTCATTTATCTAATTGCCTACGTCATTATCTTGTAATCGTAAACTTTGGCGACGTAGACACTAAGAGGATAAACTAAATTTAATCGAAAAACGATTAAGTAACTGACTTTACAATGAGAATCGAGTTGCAATTAGCTAGCGACCGTTTTTTGGTAGGAAACAATAACTGACCTCGAACGGTTTTTGGCATAAGTGGCATTTAGCCCCAGGTTTGTGGAAAGACTGCACTACGGACTCTGGTGAATCGATAGGTCCATATACTATAGGCATGTGAACTGGCGGCTGGAGTTCGACCGGAAATTCCTGAACGTATTCCTGGTTTAGCCAACGAACAGTCAAGCCCAGCCTGTTCCACGGACGCACGCGCAACATATGACACAAAATCCGGAACTTAAACTGAAATGATGTTTCACGCTTTGTTTTGGGTGATATGTAGGGAACCCTTCTCGACTGGTAGGGATTTTGCCATGCCCATTCAAACTAGATGCAATCATTTAAAAA